AAGAGAAGAAGACGGAACGAGCAGTATTGCTGTAGTAATAATTAGGGAGAGAGTGTGCAATATGAGGATATGGAATGTGCAATCTGGGGTGGAGGGTACACAGTTTACCCCTACAAACAAATGAGAAGTGGTAAAGTTGAAATAGTATTATTGGTGTGTGGTACATGATAAGGCGACGGGTGCAACCTATTAGTAATGAGCTTGGGTATAATTAAAATAAAAGAAGATGGACCAAGCAATATTTACATAGTATTCCGACTCACAGTTTGCAATTTTGTTGTGATTTGTTTTTTTGTAATGCATATTGCTTTTTTATTTGTGAGTCGCTCTTATTTGAAGTGTAGTTTAATCAAAAGAATTGGTTTTGATATGTAGCAGGTGAGAGCGAAAATACTAATGACACCGCAACATGTGACATGGAAATCTCCCCTGGAAACACAACATACTGGGTCCCAAAATATGATGCGAAAATGAAACCAACCACCGAGACTCCACCGGAAGAAGAATAATTGCAAACACCAAAGCCAAATAATGAATACAAAAAAAAAAACGCGTGCTTGGGAAGACAAATAGACAAATCGTGAAGGGAAAGAAATAATACTGAACCATTAAATCAGGGCTTACCATTAATAAAATAGATAGACCCAATTTAAATTACACAAAAACCCCTAAACGCATAACATATAAGCGGCAATAACTAATTCATCAACACCGTTAAGATTAAAGCTTGGATGGCTAAGATTTGTTCCCACGTTCTCACTTGAAGAGGTGTTCTCATATGAACCTAACTCTATATATATAAATAAGGGGTAGGGTAAGGGAGTGGGGACAACTGCCCCCACTGCTTTCATAGTAGTTCCGTCCATGCGTTCGGCTGGACGCGCCTAATACAAATAATGTTCACGAGTTTTACTGATTGCGGTGAAATTACAAAAATCAAGATCTCTATGTAGAAATTAAATTTATTCTCTCTTCCCACTTCCTCTTTCAGATTCCCACTTACAAAAATTAAGCAAAATGTCTCTATTAGGATGCTCCACAACATAATACGGAGTACTATGATACTTCTAATTACACAACAAGACCTAAACCCCACCTAATAGTCGGAATGGAGTTCTAATAAGTTAAAAGAAAAGAAGGTGAGAGTAGACGGAGAGAAGCAGACGTCGTTTTCCGTCGCAAAAGACCGCTCGTTCATCGAACCAACACATTTCCATTTTTATCTGTTGAAACGTAAACGCTAACACGCTCATCCGTCAGTTAAATCAAAAGCCAGCTAATGACTCCTGAGGCCATTAGTTGACTCGGCACCGATCGAACCCCAAGAGTTTTCACACCAGCCGTTTTCTCTCTTCAGTCTTTTCCTCCGTTTTCTTCGTGCAAGTCTATACCATACTTCACTTCCTCGGACAATTCAGCTCAATCGCGTCTCCTCACCGCCTCGAAATGCTGAGGTTTTAGCTTCTGCATTTCTCAACTCCGATCAGGTATGTGATGAAACGCTATCGACCTTATTATGTCACTTTCGTGTAATTTCGAAATCTCTTCCTGATCGATCAATCGAGGAGCTCGGTACGGTTGGCTTTCGTAGTGTATTTGTTTTTGTTATATGCTTGGAATACGCCTTAGCTGAGTTAGCTGCTTGGATTTGGATATATATAGCTGAAACTCAAGTGCGTTTTAATGAATCCAGGTGTGAATTTTGAGTTAAATTATGTGTTGTATGACTGTATGGTGATTGGTGAGATATTAAGTGCCATTTGAAGCTAAGATGGCGTGAGGTTTCAAGTTTTCGTGACCTTTCTTTTCTAGCGGTTGATTTTGATGTTTGAATGGTTTCTGTTGTGTCTGCATGGGAGGCAGGGAAGCGGAGGAGCTGAGAATGTACTCCGTGATCAATAATTGCGATTGCTGAATTTCTGCTATATAAAGCGTATTGACATGAGTTGCTGTTTTGGTGGATCAAGTGTGCGCCGTAGAAGGAGTAGTAATAATTGTTCTCATCATGGAGCTCGTGATACTGGGGGTGAGTGCTTAAGATCCTTCAAAAGTTCGACAATTATTGTTCAGTTGCCTCGTAATTGACTACACTAGGGTTCCAGGCTAATCCCATGGGGTTCAAATTGGGTGTATTTCCTATTTATCCTGAACCTGTAAAAGGTTGATTGTAATGCAGATGGATGCCTTTGATGCATTGAAGAATAATTATATTCCAGCAGTTGCAGGATTTGTTCTTGCATTTGTTGGAATACTTTTTAACCCTAATGTGCTGTATCTTAAATCTTCACTTACCTTTATCTGCCTAGGTCACTCTGTTGGAACAACAACAAATTTCTCATACACCGAGTTAAGAGAAGCAACAGACAACTTCAGTCAAGTTAATAAGATTGGAAGAGGAGGTTTTGGGACTGTTTACAAGGTATTACTACTTTCTGTTGTGACTATTCTCTTCTTCTTTGGATTAGTCCTGCATTGCACATGCCAGACTCTATAATTTTCACAGTTTAAAAAAAGTATTAGCTAATAACATTGCTTTTGTCCCGTTGAATGTTTTCTAAACGTTTGGCTTATATGACATATCAAGACTCTGCATGTGCAATTTATATGCATGTCTCTAATTATCAACCCGAATGCAATTTCATAGGGAACCCTACATGGTTTACAAGTTGCAGTGAAAGCACTCTCTGCCGAATCAAGACAAGGAATCCGTGAGTTTTTGACAGAGATTGAAACTATATCAAATGTAAAACATCCTAATCTGGTCGAGTTAATTGGGTGCTGTGTTCATGGTGATAATCGGCTCTTGGTCTATGAATATTTAGAGAATAGGAGCCTTGATCGAGCATTATTTGGTAAGTTTGTAGTGGAGATAATAAATTCTATCAAATCAAATTCATATTATCTAGTGAAACTCTTAATATACTACTTATGTTTGCAGGTCAAAGGAGAGATGCTAACTTGGATTGGAGAACAAGAGCTGCTATTTGCATAGGAACTGCCAAGGGTCTAGCTTATCTTCATGAAAACTTAGTACCACATATAGTACACAGGGACATTAAAGCCAGTAATATACTGCTTGACAAGGATTATAAACCAAAGATAGGAGATTTCGGGTTGGCTAAACTTTTCCCAGAGAATATAACCCACATCAGTACCAAAATAGCAGGAACAACGTATGTCTCTCTTTTACTTTGCAGTTAAAATATAGTTGTTTTTCCTGCCACGAATGCTTAATACTTCTCGCTTTTGTTAATTGTCAGAGAATTGATAAATGCCTTTGAAATGAGCGAGTTATAAAATTTGAACTACATCTTAGGCTTAACTGAAAGCATGTTATTCTTACATGTACCCCTTGTCTTTATTACAAGCAGTGGTTACCTGGCACCTGAATATGTAATAGGCGGTCAATTGACATTAAAGGCTGATGTCTACAGCTTTGGCGTCCTAATACTTGAAGTTATAAGTGCAAGGAGCAGTTCAAGTATTAGCTGGGGAGGACAACAGAAATTACTTTTGGAACGGGTGGGTGAGAACTTATCAATTATCAATCTGTTGCATTCTAGTCTTGACTCTAAGTCTAATAATTTCTTCCGCATACAAATAAATGGTAATTGTTCTTCAAAGCAGTATATTTGCCCGTATATATCTTTAATCTTGCCTCCATACTTGTTAACAGGCCTTCACTGGGTTTGCTCACTATTCGATTGCAAATATAAGCCTCAATCCTAATTATATGCCATCATAACCAAATCTGTTAGTAATCTGTATTTGCTAAAGAAGTAGACTAGTTCTTTCCACTTTTCTAATGAAGTATTTGGCTCACCTCTTTTTTATTCCTAAAATCCTTAGCCATTCTTTAAATACTATATGGAATATTTGTGTATCTCATTTGCTAGAAATTCTGGTGTGCTTCTGGAGTAAGAATATTTTACTCCATGAGCAATGAACACAACACAATCTACTGGCAGTCCAATTTCAAAGGGACCCCATGGAAGTTTAACAAAAGTAGATTGTTTGGTGTTATACGCTCCTGGAGTAAAAAAAAAAAATCATTTTTCTCCAAGTATACAGAATAATTTTTCCCCATTTGCATCTATGTACAAGATTGTTTGGTGCCTTTCTTTTGGGCACCAACTGGCGGGAACCTGAAATCATTGATCACTGGGTTTGAAGCTTCTTTCTTGCTGGTTTTAAAAGCTAACAAAACGTTCCATACCCCAGGCATGGGAGCTGTATGAAGGAGGCAATTTGTTGGAGTTGGTGGACTCCGAACTGGGTCAGTACCCCGAGAAGGAAGTCTTGAAGTATATGAAGGTTGCACTTTTCTGCACCCAAGCAAATGCAAGTCGTAGACCGATGATGAGCCAGGTCATCGACATGCTCTCCAAAGACATTCGGCTAAATGAGAAGGAACTGACACCACCCGGTTTCTTTCAAGATTCTGACAGGGTTGGCTCTCCATCAAAACAGAACTTATCTGAAACGTCAACAAGTCGACCGATGAGCTCTGTTCCCTTTACCATCACTCAGGTGACTGCTAGATAATGATCATTGTCAACTGGTGCTAAAACCATCCAGGATACACACACGGCGATTTCAATTTGCACAAAGAAGAGTCTGTATAAGGACTGCAGTAGCCAGTAGGGATGTAGGAAAGTAGTGTCATATTCGGTGGGTTAAATTATTATTGGTTGATATTTATATTGTTTTCCTCTTTTTCTTTCTATTGCTTTCCTCTTTTTGATTTTTGATTTTTGATTTTTGATTTACTGAGAGGCCTATACACGGTTTCTTTTTTATGCTACTGCCTTCTGTATATGATGTGATTAAATATATTATATTTCCTTTCATTCTCCTACTATGTACCTTCCAAACTAGGCATAAATGGACAAGAATTACGTTAGAGGGACCTCTCATGATATGGGATGTGGAGTGTTTGGAGCATGGTGGGACGAGACAAAATTGGTACCTAAATGCATTTTCCAATGGAGATAGAGAACTAGAGAAGCAATACAAAAATTTTATTGACCGGTTGAAAACGAAAATACTCCATAACCGATAAATGAGGGTCAATACACAACAATAAACTGAATACTAGGAAACAGATCTCCACAATCTGAACAGAGTAACGAAGGTCTACAATCAAATGCAATTGTAGTAGAATGCAAGATTAATAAGTGAGACAATCATACAAAATTCGTGCACGGCGAAAAACAAAAAACAAAGTCCACAGACATATTAGAAGATTCAAGTAGAGGGCTGTTCCTCTGTGACGGTGGCAGGTTCTTCCGATGCAGGAGCAGGCGTTTTAGAATCGCTGACAGGTGGAGCTGCTGCTGCAGCTGCAGATGGTTCTGCTTCTTTCGCATCCTTGACATTTTTCCCATCCTTGGCGTCTTTCGTATCCTTCTTCCCGTCTTTGCCATCCTTGGGAGCGGGAGGGGGTGGTAACATGTGAGGTGGTGGCTTATGCTTAAGCTTCACCAGTATTTGGCGCATCCTTGAAAGCTCGGTGGGTTTTCCAGGTTTCGGCCCTTGGATCACAGTGATACCTGGCTTCTTCTCTTGATCCTTCTTCCTACCCTTCTTCTCAATGTTGGGCACCTCATTAGGAATGAGCTCAGCAATAGCTTTCCAGTATTGCTTATCAGCTTCTTTATGGAACTTCTCTTGACTAGCTAAGGATAACTGTATTGAGAAAATGGATATTTAAGTGTCAAATGCTTTGAAAATCCAAAACAAGGTTTAAAAAGAATGACAAGTGATCAAAGCATAAAATCTTTTATTAAGCTTAACCTTCTCTTTTTCCCTGTTAATGGTCATATTAGTTTCAATATTGAGCTTTCTTTTTTCATAGAAAGCTCTCTTATACTCTTCTCCTTCTTCAATAATTTGGTTTCTTATTTCCTTTTCCTGCTTTTCCTTCTCCTCAAGTCGAATGGTGTTTAGCCTGCACCAAAGAAAAAACAAAAGTAATAACAGTTATAAGAAATTCCCTACCATATTTTGTAAGATGACCTTCAAATTGCAATATTGGCTCTATCTTTGTGCAAAGGGATGGACTCATAAATACGATAGAGCTTGTATCTTTCATGATGGCGTAGTTCACAAAACAATTCAACAAAGGTGAAAAAAAATGCAGCAGAATGCCTGAAAGTCTTAAAGATTTTTTCAGACTCGCTTGCAACCGACTATACATGCTTCCTTCCCTCAACAAAACAGTACACACCTCAATTACATTAATTATTAGTACCATTTCAAATGGTTGTACAGTACTAAATTAGAAATAAAGGTTTGGACCGTTGGACACTTGTTCAGTGATAGGCTAGGGAAAATTTGCTCTCCAAATTCCATCAGCCCTAAACCACTCCCCCAACCAATGACCAATAAACACCCCAACATGTTTTTGAAATTAAAACCTAAAACACTCAAGATGGAGAAACATATTAATAAGGTTACATATATCAAAGCTTTTGCCTGATCTAATGAAGATGGAGAAATCAATATTATAGTAAAACAGAACACACCAAAAATTACCATGTGACTTTCCTACTTCAAAATCTAAAGTTGGATCTGGATCCACAAAAGTGATTTCAAGTTCAAACAATTAAAAATTGATCTGATTTCTGGTACCATCTAATCCTAACCAAGATCACAAGGGAAAGAAAAACCCTGACCATAATCAAATTAAAAATTGATCACTTCTGATACCATCAAATCCTAACCAAGATCACTAGTAAACGAAAAATCCTGACCAAGATCAAATCCTCAAAATTTATAACATAGAAACAAAAGTGTCGATTAATCATAGATTTATTTGGTATAGAGTAATTTAAGCCTAGAAGTACCATAAATCCAATATTGGCATAACATAAATGAAGTGGATAATAATGTTGAAGAAATCGCAATGTTTCCTTTGTCAAATAAAGTCAATATCAGCTAGATGTAAAGCGAATCAGTAAAATCTAGATATTCATAGCAAACATTAAATCTTGTCTAAAATTAGGTCTACATGTGTGCAATAAAGAGTAGATCTGCATATTCCAGTCATAAAATTCCACAACCAAACTCATCTGTTGATCAGTTACAATTGAAGTTAATCAGCTCAAGACAGGTGTATACGAAGAGTACACGCAAGTCGCAACCATGTCGTTGAAGAGAAACAAGAAGAAAAATATACGGATTAGATAATAACCGAAATAAAGTTTCGGAGAATATCGAATCGGATTTCAGAACTAAGAAGAAAAAAGATGAAAAGAGAACTCGCCTTCGCCATTCGCGCAGAGCAGAGCCTTCCTCTCGCATTTCATTCGGAGGAGGAAGCACCGGTCCATCGGAGCTGAATATTCCCTCGGAGTCTTCCCCAAGGTCATAGGGCTTTCCATTTCCGTTGGAAACCGGAACGGCCGAGGATCCAAACGGAGTGGCCTGTCCCTGGAACGGATCAGACTCGAATCTGTAAGGATCAGGGCTGTCGACGGTTTCAGATGCCTGTTCCGCCGTCACTTCAACGTAGTCCTCAGACAATTCCGCAGCAGGTTGGTACGGCGGCGTTTCGGATGAGAAAGCCGAGTAGCCGCCATAGCTACCGTCTTCAAACGGAGGCGGTGGCGTCGCGTGCTCTCCGTCCATGCTAAAGGTGTCAAACGAAGCCATTCTCTCTCTCTCTACAAAATCCCAGATCTTTAGCTCTCTCTAAATATGCGTGTGCCTGTATTCTTTGTGATGTGTCCACAATACCATATAGACAGACAAAGGAATTGATTTCCCCCTCTCCACATTTTACTCCTTTTTACTTTTTGTTTTTACTATTTTTTTGGAAACTTTTTTTTACGTCCCAAATTATGCACAATCGCCTATTTCTTGATTGATTTATTTACTTTTATTCATTAGTCTCAATTTAAAAATTATTAGAAAAAGTAAATTACGAGTCATCTTGTCAATTCATAAATTTTCTCTTCTTTGATCGATTTAAAAATATAATTTAAATAATCAGTCAAACAAATTAAGTTAGCTCCACAAGACTTCTTGATCTATTATTATATGTTTGTCCATAGCTCATTGATAGATCTTGTAATAAATAATTGTCTAATTGTATATCAATATGATTGAAGTTACTTAAAGTTTAAAGTTAGATTAAAAATACTCCGTATCTGCTATTAAAATTACTATTAATAGCGTAATTTTAAGAACTGATTTTTTATCAATATAACTAAAATAAAACAAAATTTAGTAAAAATAATAATGTTACCTTTCTATAAAAGAATACTAATTTTCTAAAACCTTTAAAAAGTAAATTTGTTTATTTTTAATGATTAATTAGTGGATAGAACATTAAAGATGGATTATTGTACGAACACGTATCATTATTCTTTATATAATTAAAATTTCACTTAAAAAATCAAGAAAACATTAATCATTGTATAAAAAAAAAAAAGACTTGATTTTTTTTATCTTTTGTGGTTTAAAAATCTTTTACATAATATATATATATATATATATATATATATATATATATATATATATATATATATATATATATATATATATATATATATATATATATATATATATATAGGTTCTGGTGCCCAGGTGCAGTTGTGCGGTTTAATCTGGGCCATTCATCTCGCTTAAATCAACGTTCAGGATTGTCAAAATTTATTTTAAAAAAAATGCAATGGCAATTTTGTAATTTTTGCATCTAGGTCAAAATTAAGGTGGACGAATCTGTGATTAATGTGTGTGAGGTTTGTATATAAGTTGCGTGAGTTTTGTGCTTAAGTGCGTGGGGTTGTGCTTAACGTGAGTAGTTGTTAAAAGTTAAAGTGTGGACTTTTGTGCTTAAGGTGCGTGAAATTTGTTCTTAATGTGAGTGGAGTTTGTGCTTAATGTGTGTGAGGTTATGAAAATTAAGAAGCATAAGCTAAAAATGGCGCACCTTAAGTGATAGAAACACGCACCTTAAGTGTTAGATCTTAAGCACAAACTCACGCATATTAAGTACAAACCCACACACATTAAGCACAAGTACATTAAGCACAAAACTCACGCACTTTAAACATTAAATTCACAGACTTTGATCTAAATTTGATCAACGGCTCAGATCTAACCGCACGGGAAGCTATACCCACACCTGAGCACCTGTCGCGCCTGGGAGCGAAATGCGAATAACTCAGCATGGCATGTTCAGATGTAGGTGCACTTATAGTTATAACTAAGTGCACCTAAGTGAAAGTACGTGTACCCAATCAATGAATGTTAACAAAACAAAATTACATACAAGTAAAATGTATTATAACTAGGTGCATCAATACTAAGTGCACCTAACGTTATAACTAGGTGCATCTATAGTTATAAGTAGTTACACTTACATCTAAATGCACGAATGTTAACAAGGTAAAATTACTTACACTAGCACTTTTTACTTGCAAATGTGCACCACTACATGCACTTAAAAACATTTACATGCACCAAAATTCTTGTTATTATTTACAAAAATGTCACCGCGTCATTTTTTAAAAATTCCATCTAAATATAAACCTGAATCCATTAGAATAATGCTATAATCGTGGATAAATTATCTCTCAACCTGAATCCACATTGCAAGGTAAACTCGAATTCAAAAATACATACTAAATATTCACAATTTATTAAAATACTAAATGTTCACAATTTATGAACATTCAGTATGCAAATTGTGCATTTTGAACCCAAGTCCACCTTGCAAGATAGATCTAAATCCATAACATAACTGCTGATAATCAATGAATAAAAACTTCTTAAGAGCAAAAGACTGCATTATTCATTGCAATTCAATTACCCAAATCACAAAATTTGATTCAACTTGAGCTAATATTAACCCATAAACTGAAGCTCATAAAATCAAAAACTCAATTTTCACATTGTAAAGAAATATATTTACCTTGATTTCTAACACGAAAAAAGGTGGGAAAATTGCATTAATCAGAGCCTTTATACAAAAAGAAAGACACTAAACGAAAAGGAAAAACCATCCTATACAAGGAGGGAGGGATAGGATGGAGACTATGACATCTACCTCAGTACATTCACACCAGCAGAGAATGTAACGATACAACACAAAATTTTTCCTCGTAACGAAGAGGAACCAAGAAGAGAGGTTTGGTCAAGTTTAACAACCTCGAGTCCTCGACCAACCACCAGAGGCTGGAACCGTCAAAATTTGGAGTCTGCTCCGGCAAACAAAGCCATCTACTAAACTATTCAAATCTACATCCCCATCATCTCCCATCTCGCCATGATCACCACAGAATAGAACCAAAGCTACACATTCAGGTCATACCGAATCATCCATGGATGAGCCGGCTTTCAAACATTGTGATTATAGTGAAGCGCTAATGAGGCTTTATGGGCCAGGGGGTGGAAATGATACAACAAACCCATAGTAATGTCGCGCAAAGTTGATGGACATTGAAACTCACTTTAAGCAGATGTGTATAGCCAGGAAGGTTTCGCGAACAAGTTTTTTAAATAGAGGCAAGGGCACTTGGTTGTAGGAATGGTATCATCCACAGTAAGTTGATGGGGGCACACCCGTGAAAGCAGCTGGCCTCGGTTGCAGGTAATGTTGTCATATTAGGTCTGCTCTCTATGTGGGCATTTGGACAAAAGGAGTATCGATCAACATCTATGTTTCATGGCACGGCAGAAGCATTCTTTGAATACTTGGAAGAGGATGACACCCGCTGTACAAATCGAGGATATTCAGGCTTTAACCGTTTATTGGAGAACACCTGCAATGACCTGGTCCAAAGGAAATATTGCGTAAACAAGTGATGTAAAATCATTAAAGATCTGATTTGGGAAAAAATTGAAAGAAGAACCAGACATATTCTAGCTTGCTGCAACATGAGAAGGCATATGAGTTTTTGCGTTCTCAGTAAAGTTATTACCTTGGAGAACCCTGGCGTTTGTGAGAGAACTGACCAAGCGTGGATTTTAAAGCTCCAAGAGCCCTTTCAGCAGCCTAAGGAATGAAATATCAAAGGCAATAATTGAGAATCAAGACACATCATTGAATATACAATAGTACAAACTTCGAAAGAATATTAGTACCTGTGCCTTAGCTTCATCCCATGTTGACCCAATTCCCTTACCAAACACCTCTCCATCTATTTCAACCTGAATCCAATTTGAACAAAATTAAAAAATTAAATCCAAAAAGCAATTTACATAATTAATGAAGCTTTATTTATTTATTTATTTTAAACCCTCCAACTAATGAAATTTAATTCTAAGTAGATATGTTATAATTCCAGTTAGTGCCTTGTCCAAATCTATACAAGAATGTTCTATCCATTGCTCATTGGTAGTAGATCCACATAACATATATGTATAACTGATTACTAGTACCGGGTTACCATAAAGTTGCAACAAAATTCCAACCTTTCTTACAGGATAGTTAAATCATAAATGCATAAATTAACTGATTACAATCTTTTTTCACACAATGTCACACTTGGCAAAGGTGAAAAGTTGTGAAGGAAGAAAAGTGGGTTGTTGTGGAGATGGGGTTTTTTAAATTTCCATGTCAACATGTTTGTATTTGCCCATATTATAGTAAAATTGCCAAAATTGAAACATTTGGATAGAATTCAAAAATTGAGTAAAGGTATGGATATTTGGTACCATTAGGTTTAAACTAAACCTGCAGACTAATCCTAAAAACTTCTATACCAAATCTCAGGTTAGAAAGAAAATCAATTCCTTTTAAATTTTTTATATTCATATTCAATTTTGAGATAATGATAAAGAGCAGAATGACAAGGTCAGGAAATAATAAGATCTCAATTACAAAAAGAGCCCTCTATTTAACAAGAGAATTATTTCAAGAAAGAACCAAACATGTACAAATCATACAACCAAAAACCTATCCTCCCAATCAAAACAGATCAAACAAAGAAAAACACAAACAAACAAACAATTTCAAAAAATTAAAGATGCCTGTGAATTGCTCACTAACCTGGGCATGTATTTCATTTTTCTGGCCTGGAGCAGCAGAAAGTTGTGGTTGAGTTTGAAAGGCCAAACTAAGGCCCTCTGTTGTGCACTGGAATATTGAAAACCAATTAATGGCATGGCCAAAAATCTCAGAATTCCCAATTAGAGCAATAATAAACCAACTAAAGAAAGGGGGGAAATGCTTATGAGATCTTACCAGCTCTCTAAGCGCAGCAACTGAACCCATTGACTTCTTGGAGGCCTCCAGTTTTGAGTCCAGACCTCGAAGTGGTTCTGATGTGGATGAAAATGGCAGAACATCCTCCTTAATTGATTGATACCCAAACATATTGTTGTCATTTGCAAAACCATTCCGAATCCCATCACCAGGTATAGAACTTGAATCGGGGTTGAGACGTGACATGTACTTGTCTGTAAACCAATCAGAAAACCTCACTGTTGTGATTGATAAAAGACTAAGCACCTTAAATATTACAGGTCGCCAATTCGGAGCTTAAATGTTTGATTGGTTAAAACATGTTTTGCTCAATTTTGTGTTTATTTGGATCAACTGTGTTTTGGAAATCCTTAGGGATCTTATAAAAAAGAGGTTTTCCCCTCTTCACTAGCTTGGAAACCCCTTTTTTACTTTCACATTTGGGCCAACTATTATTTGGAGCAGAGGAGATTCAAAATACTCAGGGCCAAATATACACTATCTTGACACATAACACTTTACAAGCAATTATATGGCACAGGAATAATAACAAACAAGAATGAGCAACATATATCCTACCAGCCAAATTCTTAAGAGATCTCTCAGCGGCATAATGCTGTGCTTCCCTTCTAGTTCTACCAATTCCTACTCCAATTTTCTCACCCGCAAACCAGGCCTACAAAAGATTATTGATGCCATGTTATCATTAAGATAAGCAGAGCCACATAATCAGAATTGGACTATATGGAAAAAAAAAAAAAAAAAAAAAATTACAATTCCCAATAATGCCAGAATTGAGAGACAATTTATAACGCTTACCTCTGCATTGAACTGCAGATCACTGCTTGAAACCAATGTTGACCTGTACTCCAACTGCAGGAATTCAAAATGAGAACTGATTAACTTCAAAAAAAACAAACAAACTGCAAGGGCAACAGTCTGTACAGTACCTTTGTTCCACACTTCAATGCAATATCATGTAATGCTCCAACTTCTGTTTCAGCATATGAATCAAATCGTCCAGGTTCAAGGTCAAGATCCCTATTCCCAGACCGGGCCAAGGGAACTTCCTCACCTACATAACTTACCAGTGTTATTCTTCTAACACTTCTATCTCCAATACATTGATCAAGTCTATTATGCAATCTTTGGTCTAACCATGTTATGCATATTATACTTAACCTCTACTGTAAGAAATCTGCACATACAAACTAAAACTCTATCCTCTATGCAGGAAATTATGATTCCTATGAACCAAACAACTGTCATTTATATGACAACTAATCCAACCACCAAGGTTCCTTTTCCATTATAAGAAAAGAAAGAAAGATGTAGAGAGCACAATTAAATCAACCTGAACAAGGAAAGGCAAAGTAACAGCCCAGACATTTGCTTTCCATGACTTTAAGAGATCAGTATTTAAATACATAAGATTGTGGACTCTCTATGAGCCTTATTCAAATGACTGAAATCCATAAAAGTATTATCTGACACTTCTGACATAAAACTCAGCGAGATTGCTTAGAAGGTAAATGTTCAGAATGTTTATGTTCTCCTCCATAGAATACTTCATTAAAAAAACATTTAATTTAAAAGCCAAAAAGAACAGAAAAGACAACACCCTAGTTGAATAATGTTTGAAATATGAACTCATCACATTGAAACTAAATCATCTAATTAAATATTTGGGAGGGCAGATTGAATAAGAAATGATCAATATTCATCATTTACCTGAAAATGATTGAAATCTAGGCAGTGATTGATTCAATCTCATTCGATCATCACTTGGTATTGCCTGGACACAAGAATTAAAAAGCAAGGTCAAAACAAAGCAAACAGAATTTATGTCAGGCACATTTGGAAGAGGAACTAGGCAACTTGCCTCCTTTGACAACATCTGGCTTTCAACATGTCTATCAGATGGAACAGAACCATCCATTTTGTGGAGATAAGGAGGATGATGAGGTCGGTGCTTCTCCATATGCATTGAATCTGCACTCAAAGGAAAATCCTTGGGTGGTAGGACTCGGTTCAGTTGTCCAGGACCCATTTCTTCCTCTGTTGGAAACCAACTACGTGGTTGAACCCTAGGAACAGATGCTGGTACAGAGGGCCGTACAGGAAGCTGAGATTCACCTGATGCATGCTCTCTGTTGTCCATACCATGTTGTAAAATAAGTAGTCTCCTCCTAGTATCAGGATCCAATTCTGATTCCGGTACCTCACCTTCTTCTCTAGCAGGAGAACTCTGTAAGCTTGTGTCTTGAGGCCCCACTTGAGTCAATGATGATTTAAGAACAGGAGTCACTTGAGGTAGCTGTTGACCAGGGAGAGGCATCCCAAGAGTTTGCATGGTTGGTGTAGGGATTGAGAGTGAAGACGACAGCGCAGGGTACTGGAAAGCTGGAGATATTCTAGGATCCAAGCTTGAGACTGTCAATGGAACAGTTGCTGAAGCTGACATTGCCTCCTAAGTGATCATGAAAATTCATGTTAAACCTTATTTGGATGTATTACAAAACAGTTATTTGTTTTCAAAAATAAGAAAAGGGAGACAGGATGGAACTGTATATAGAAAGACTAATTAAAATCCCAGTTTTCAAAATCAAAAGACTAAAAGAGCTACATCAGCATACCTTTAGTCTCTTTTCAACTTCAGCATCAGACATGCCATCAAAACCAAGGGAATCTTTATTCCCATTTGAAGTGGTAGCATCATCCTGAGCAAGAAAAAGCGATGAGCTTTGATCAGATATAATCTTATACAACTACTAAATTAACCCAGATATACATGTCGTTTGGAATCAGAAAAAAAATGGATTGAACAAAGAAAGCTATAAAAACTTTTCCTCCTGACCTCTGAAATCAAATAGTTACTAACGTCAGGAGCAGAAGGTATTTCTTTAATATCACCTTCATATGCAACATCTGAAATTCGTTGTAAGAGGCCCTCATCAAAATCTCTGCACCACATATGGTTTTCATGTAAGGTCAAAAATCAAAATAGAAATACAGCCACAACCGTACAAACAAAGAAATGATAACTTAAAAAGCTTAACAGAAAGGCATCGGTGAAGACAATTACTTGAAAAAACCACCCCTGACATTACACGCGACATTTCTTGCAACACACAGCACAGGAACAGAGTTGTTGCCCTACATAATCATTTTTATCAAGTTATAGCAAGCTCAAACTGCAGAAAACACTTCATAGAAGAATTTACTTTCATAATAGTATTTACTTCAGCTTGAGGAGCATAATATGGAGCAAAGGCAGGAACAACATGCACTCTGGGTTGATCCTTCTCATCCCACACTTTTAAACGATCATCAATGACCAACGACATCTTAGGATGACAGTTTCCATCTTGGAAAACATTAAATAAAGATTTCTTCAAGCCTAAAATCAAATTAAAGGAAAATAATGAGCCTCGAGGAAATACAAATCTTGACCATTGCAATTGTTGGCATTAAAAGTGTGATAATGCTCCATAGCCTAAAAGCTTACCAGACTTGACACAGACTATACGATTCAACAGCTCATTTGAGCTAATTAAATTTGAATCTGGATCAAGAAGCCTCCACATTTCTAAAGCATAATCTCTTTCAGCCATGGTGCAAACATAGACTTCAAAACGCTTCCTACCCCTTGCAGTCAAGTAGCTTCGGAGATCCTCCCATGCAGGTCTCAATCTCACAAGAACACTTGTATCACGAATCTGTCAACAAACAATTACCATATGCAATTATCAACTTACTATATATTAACCCTGTTATCAAGCCTTTAAGAAGTTGACCATTACTATAATATACATACCAATGGATTAATACGGGTCAGAATAATGTTTTTATCAAGTAGCCTAATAAGTGGCCGAACAATTGGCTGATGACTGTCAGATAAAGCTGGAAAGACTTCAGGCTGACATTTGATCACTTTTCCATTATCAATGACCTGATCATTTTCTGCATATTGCTTCAATATACTTTTATCTTCTTGATAACGCTTCACCTCAGCCACCATTCCCAGTACACGTTGTGGGTCAGCCTCACCATTTATTTTACGCTGCAAGTTCTCTATCCTATCTTCAAACGAACGGAGAGTGTTGGCAACTATGAGTGTTTCATCAAGATCAAATACAATTCCAAGACATCTAAGGTTCAGCATGACCAGGCAAGAACTATATAGTCCTGGGGAGACAATGAATCCCCAAAAACAAGGGCAAAAACCACCATACTCCCTAGACTGCATCGCAACCAAATGAAGCTCCTCCCTTCCAAGGGACATAACAGCAGTCTGTGTGGGCAGATCACATGATACAAATAAGTGTTAGACAAGGCAAGACAAATATCACAAAAGCCAAGAAGTGAAATGACGCAAATACTATGATATCAAACTTTGCTATCTCCAATACAAAAAATGGAAAAAAGACATGAAGCTACATATTATACACGTACATGAATGCCATGAGCCAATGGAATTCACATCTTAAAACCCCAATGAGGAACACATTTAAACAAGCAAGAACTAATCATTCAGATAAGAAAATTTCTTACCGAATAAAACCATGATAAATTTATGTTTACAGATATTAAACAAGCTCCATTAATAATCAGAAATTTGTAATATTCAGAAAGAATTTTACACACAATTGGTACACCACACTCCAGAAGTTGAATAAATGTCAAAACAAAAAGGAACAAATGTAATCCAAGATTATTTGATAACAATAAGAAGATTCTATCATTTAAAGCCATCCCAAGAAAGCCATAAAACCGCATATGTCAAATACGTTATTAATCCATAAAACCGCATCATTGTCATCATAATTTATATAGGCTCAATCTTTTAATGTTCTACTTCTATAACAGCAGGAATGAGGAATCCCATTTGCGTAATCATTCATAACAAGGTTTGACAGAGTTCAGAGAAAACATTTCTCAAGTTCTATCAGCAGGTCTCCAGATCCAAGTAGAACTGGAATGGGATTTCAGGTATAGTAATTAGTGGTCCAGTTAATGAAAGAGTTTTCCAAGTATATTTGATGCCCAAATATGAAACAAGCCTGCAAAGGTTCAATGTATAATTCATACAGGTGTCCACTTCTATGTACTCAAAATTTACTTCATAATTGTTCAAATTTGTCCGGAATCCAGTTCACAATTCTCTGTTCAGAAATTAGGGTTCAAGATCCTCTGCAAATGTGTCCCTTAATTTCCCAAATTCAGAACATTAATTAACATTAATAAATCAATATTTTGATTCAGGAATAGAATTTTATCTTTTTTGTTAGACCCTAATTTTGTGTTAACCCTAAGGTTTTAAGTATAAATCAAGATAAATGAGAGAATTAAGATCAATTAAATTAAATTAGGGTTTTACTTTTTCATCTTAAGCTTGTTTGGTAGAGTTCAGAGATGAAAGTTTTCAGCTTTTAATTTCCAATTTCTTATATTCACTTTGAGAATTTCAGCAACTGTGATGATATACCTTGTTTTCTCTGAGACAGGTGGAGTGCAAAACATAGAGCGGCGAGTAGTCCTGTGTCTGTGTCTTTGGAGATTTGGATTCCAGTTTGAAGCTAAGCCCAGAAGAAGAAGAAGAAGTAATAGTGTGAAGCACTGCAAGTGGTGGACACCTCTCACTGGGTTGAGAATAGTGAGAGACTCGAATTTCCTTCCCACCCCAAACGACACCGTTCTGAGGATACAATTCCACTTCTCCCAGAAGTGTCTCACCTTCATACACCTTCACCATCTCCATAGATTTATACATTTTTGTATATTCCAAGAACAATAATAACAATAGTAATAGTAATCAAAAACAGGAATCGGATTCGGCTTTTCACTTTCAATTTCTCATCATCGTGGGAAATTTTCCCTTAAAAAAATCAAAAATCGAAAAACCAGCAATCGGATCCTCTCATCGTTCACGTTTTTGAAATTCGAATATCGAACGGTCCGGTTTTCTCACGGTTTATCCAATTGCTGATACAAACAAAAAATAGACAGATCGGAAAATTAAGGTTTTTATGGAAAATAGATTTTTCCGATGACGATGGTGATTGATTGTATTCCTGACGGTGACGACCACGACGGCGAAAAAACCTTAGATCCAGAGGGAGTGAAAAATCGAAGTTTTAGATTTAGGGTTTGATGAACTGTTTTTCTTTTTTTTCGTTGATGATGATGCAGTTGAGTCACACGAAGAGGAAACCCTAGATCCAGAGGGAGTGAAAAGTCAATTTTGTACCCTCTCTCTCTCTCTCTCCCCCCTTTGCCCTTTGAATCTTTCTCTCTCTAGAAAGCTACACAATTACGTGCTTCAATGATGTGTGTATATATACGCGAAAATAATAATTTTCTCCTTTTTTTACCAAAAAAAAATAAAATAAAATTATGTACTCGTTTTATTTTCTTATCATCCATACTCCATAGAGAGTATTTTAAATACGTAAGGCTTATGTATTTATCTATATGGATAAGGGAAAGGATTTCAGTTACAACTCCTTTTTATTTTATATATATATTATCTATACAAATACAAATTTAATAAAAGTAAATAAAGTTATGTCTTTAACAGAAATATAATTGTTTGATAAAATGAATGGTTCATATTATTTTTATTCTAATATTTTTATTATAATTTTTTTCTATTTTATTCTCTATTATATCATTTATTTTTTCTTAAATACCCTTGTTGGGTTGGGCTTCCCTCCTATGTGGTAAATAGCCCAGTTTGGACTAAATCTTTTTTGTATGTACTATATTTTTGTTGGACCTCTTTTCATATTGAACCTTAATTATTATTATTATATTTATATAATATAATAATATTTAATTAGGATTTAAGAATATATGGATGATTTATGGAATGAGTGAGGCCGCAAAATGATGTAATGAAACTAAGTTTCCTTATGAGTAAATATCCAAAATGGTCCCTGGACTATAGCTAAATTCACAAATTGGTCTTCGACTTTTAATTTCAATCAATTAAGTCTTTAACTTTGCAATTTTAACATAATTTGGTCCTTTGTCTATTTGACCGTTTGTTGACTGTGCTTTTTTAGAATATATATGTAATTTCATGGTCCATCGTCGGTTTTTTAAGGTTCCGGTTGTATTTCTAGACCGCACTGTTACATTTGAATCCACTGCCGGCGCTGCACCCCATGCCAGAGAGATTATAGTTTTTGATAGATAGATCACTGAAGTTCCTGGAGTGGCTCTTCGAGAAAGCCGTGACTCCAAGCGATGTAGGCAAGCTGAACCGGCTCAGGATCCCCAAGCAGCAAGCGGAGAAGTACTTCCCCCCTCCGAGAAGGCGATGTCACCTCCAAGAGCGTTCTCTAAGCTGAACCGGCTCGTGATCCCCAAGCATCAAGCGGAGAAGCACTTCCCCCTCCGAAACAACGATGTCACCTCCAAGAGCGTTCTCTTGAGCTTTGCACGTGAAACTACATATATATCCTCAAAGATCGCGGTCAACAAATGGTCAAATAGATGGAGGACCAAATCGTGTCAAAATTGCAAAGTTAAGGACTTAATTGGTTGAAATTGAAAGTCGATGACCAATTTGTGAATTTAGCTATAGTCGAGGGACCATTTTGGATATTTACTCTTTCCTTATTATTAGAAGTTGAGTTGATTTGGTTAAGGAAATAAAGATTCCTTATTGTGTTTCATTCTCCAACAATATATATGTGTTGCGGTAGAAGATGATCGTAGATGACCTGTGTGCGGCGAAACCTTTTTTGCTTCATCTTTCATTATTCTGTTCGGCAGACAGAGAGAGGAGAAGAGTCGTGAGGTTTGCCAACTTCTTGAGTATTTTCTTCATCAAATATTTGAAGAGGTCAGCTTGTTTGTTCCAGACATCGTTTTGGGTAATCTCATAATATTTGTATTCTTTTCATCTAGTGATTGAATATTTTTTAGTATGAGATATTATTCATTTTAGGCTTGTGAACGTGATAGAATGTATTTGGCCTAGAGTTGTTGTATTTGATGATTGTTGGATCTTGGATGTTTGGCTCGTGTGGTAGTCTGAAACTTTGTACCCAAGATTTGTTATAGTGGAATATTTGTTGGTGGTGGTCCCGTGGTTTTTCCCCGTGATTTTGGGGTTTTCCACGTAAATCGTGTGTTCCTTGTGTCTGTTTTATTTTGGTTATTTTGTATCATCTCGTATTTGTGCACCGTGTCGGGTTTGTGATTTTCATTGTCACAGTATTTTTCCCAACAACCCTTTATTCCGTTAATAAAGTTATTTAATATTTTCTTTTTATTATTTTTCCTATTTTATCCTCTATTATATCATTTACTTTTTTTTTTAAATACCCTTGTATTCCGTCAATGTAAATTTTAGTAATGAAATATTCAGTTAATTATTTATTATTCTTAACTTACTGCGTTTTTTTCTTTTTGGAATCGTATCATCCATAGCGAGTGTTATCGTAGTTTAAGAGAAAGGCTGCTTCGGTCAAACCCACCATTCAGAATAGGAGACTTCCTCGTCCAAGCACCAAGACTCCCCTGACGGGATAGGAATAGGAATTATAGTACCATTGGAAAAAGGGGCACCCATGGGAACATCTCTACTGACGAACAATTTGAATAGTACGGGTGCGGTCGTGCCAAAGTAATGATAAATGTCAAGTTATATATGTAGTAGTACCATACGTTTCATATCTGTTTCAATATTCAATATCTATCTCGTTCTCTTGTAGTTCCGTTTCTTGCAAAAAAAATGAAGAAAGACTTGTGGGAAGTTTGGTCAAACCAAGAAAGACATGAGAGTTTTTGGGCGTTCTGATTCTTTTTTTTTTTTTTTCTATTACGATAAAACTAGTTGGATGAAAAGAGCGTTCCTAAAAGCAGCAGTGATCTTATATACGAGACCAACATCCTGGATTTTCATAAGAAATGTCTTAGGTTTGAACCACATCCTGAATTTTCATAAGAAATGTCTTAGGTTTGAACCCTAACCTACTCAAAATTGATATAATTGTTAAACATATATATATATATATATATATATATATATATATATATATATATATATATATATATATATATATATATATATATATATATTATGAATATGTTATAGTGTATTAAAAATATAATATAAAATTTAACATGAATTTTGGTCAATTAATTAGAATTACGCATTGGACATTGATGAAACGGTACACATAATTTACAGTATATATTCAACCCATGAGAAACTATGTCCATTATCATTGTCTTTTAGGGAATGAGGATTTGATTCTATTTTTGAAGGTGCACTACACCAATGCACTAAAATTACAGTGAAGCACACCCGGAGATTAGAACAAATCAAGAATTTATTTCTGACAAAAGTGATAACAAGAGGAAGCAAAAATAAAATGGCAGTTTTGTATTTCACTATTGTCAACAAAAATTATTTCCTTTTTTTTCCGTATAGATATTCTAGTTTACGGATCTATAGATGTCGCTTGGACTTATGTTCAATTTGACATACGTTAGTTCTCAAATTAAATGTGATAATCATCATATTTGATTCATTGAAAAAAAATACGTTTTCGTTATAAAGTATTACATATTTGAAATGTATCTCACACAAGTTTTTGTGTATTTTATATTTTTTATTTTTTATTAGATTTGAATATAATACATTTATTATAAATTATCACTAAGATTTCTTTTTCAAACTAATAATTATTAGAATTAGTACCGTATAGATATTGTATAGTCAAGTGATAAGACTTCAATGTATATAGTCCATTAAATTGAAGTATATGAATTCTATTTGTAATACAAATCTATCCACTATCGTACAAATCTCAATATCAATTAAATAAGATAATATTTGTTTTGTGTAAACAAATAAAATGTTGAAATAGATAATAAGTGTACTCATATGAAATCTTGTTTTACTATAAAAAAAAAAATAGAGATAGATGTATTTGATCATGACTTATGATATATTCTTTCAAACAAATATATTCTTGGCCACTAAAATTATGTGGTTTAATGGTATCCGGGTTGGATTTTTATTTCAAAGGTTGTGAGTTTGAGCCTCAGTGGAGGCGTTATTGGTTCTTCTTTGTGTTTTCAGTAGGTTGAGAAAGTATATATTATTGGTTCTTCTTTGTGTTTTCAGTAGGTTGAGAAAGTATATCTAAAAATATATTCTTGGCCTAAAATGACTCTACATTCGTTAAGCCTTATGCCTGATTAGTTTTAAAAAATCAAAAAGTATATAAAATAACACAATTTTTCTAGTTCAGTTTAACTTTCATGGGTAGTTTGTTAGATATTACACAAGAGCGAAATTTATTCAATGCATAGTTGCATACAAACTTGACAACTTGGGAAGAACTTCCAACAGTGAACATATTAGGATTACTATACTTATTTATATTACAAATTACAAATTATTGTCAAATGCTTATAATCTTTGATTTAGGGGATCTAATAATATAATTATGACATTTTATGCAAAATACGTGAAAAAACACACACACATATATATATAGTATTACTCAGGGACACACCCATAAATTTTTTTGAGTGGAGCAAATATTAAAATAAAATTATATAGTTTGAAAAAAAAAAATATTTAAGAAGCATAGTTATAAATATTGTTGGATATTGACCAAAAATAAAATAGATCGAAGCTTTAAAAAAAATATGAAACATAATTATTATTTTTTTGAAAACCAAACACTGACGAATATTATTGCTAATTGGAAATGAAGGGTACAATAAAATCTGACAGAATATTAAACCAAGTCCTAGGACCAGGTTGAGAGCTCGCCCTAAGACAAGATAAAATGACACAAATAGAAAACGCATTATAAATCACACATTTAGTTATATTAATATATAAAAATGATAATTGTTGGATATGACAACAAATAAAATATATCAGAACTTTATAAAAGATATTTATAACAACAAATGGAACACAATTACGTTATAAATAACACATTTCATTATATATATATATATATATATATATATATATATATATATATATATATATATATATATTATTGGATATGGACAAAAAAATAAAATATATCAAAGCTTTATAAAAAAAATAATCAAAACAAAATACAAAACACAATTATTTTGATAAAATGACTTGAATAAAAAACACATTTATAATGTAGCAACATGACGACCTTCTATAAGTCACACGCGTGCTCTGCCAACTCGCCTAACACATCTTTCATTATTTATATATAAACATGTACTATATATATATATATATATATAT